AAAAGAAAAAAATCACATTCCTGTTACCAAAAAGGGAGCGAACTGAGGAGAGATAGGATAATGCATTAACGATTAGCTTCCCTTAAATCAATAAAAGGAACAAAGACTATTTTTTCCCAACTGATCGATGACTTTATCCAACCGGAAATATTTGGCAAAGAATAATATAAATAGGAGAAACCAAAATATAATTAAAGTTACTTGTTGCCTTAATATAATAGTCTATCTCTAGAGTAAGAAGATTTAACGGACCGAAGTGTAAGGTGGATTTCCGCAAACTGTACCCAAAGAAGGCACAATACTGGCGCCAGTAAGTCTGGTAGCCATAATACTTTTGGCCAATCGGAGGTAAGCAATGGACACCAAGAGGCCGGCTACTCATTCAAGTGATTGGTTGTAAAAATGAAAGGCCGCTATTTGCTCTCCACCATAAATCATATTCACTTGAAGGAAATACATTATAATTCTCAATTCAATATAGACAAAAGAGCTTTTAATAATTATGAATCCATTTCATTTATAATCGTCTTTTATAATCGATATTAAACTCTTAAAGAGTGTCAGCGATATATCGTGATTGAGGGTTTTTTTTTAAACAGACATTTACACTTAAGAGACAAATTAAATGCATTACGTAAACGAATATTAACAGACTAAATTTGGTAAGAAATTAATAGGGAAGGATTTATTATATTATATTGTATTTATTATCGACTTTTAAAATAAGTTTTAATCTGAAAAATATTTAAATTTTACAATTAATATTTCTAAAAATATCATAGATATAATATTTTTGCATATAATGATCTATTAATAAGAGAACACTCGTTTTATTGTTATTTTTACCTATATTGCTATTTTATATTACTGATGTTTTGTTATTTTATCGTTTTCTTCGGTGGGGCTACCATTAACCATTATGGCATTGGAAATTTAATTATGCGATAAAGAATAAACAATAAAATTCCTCATATTAGTAGCAGGAAAATGAATCAACTCCATCAGCATTAAACGAAAATTGAGTAACAAGTATACAGTAAAATGTATTTTTTATATTCTATGGGAAGTTAATATTAATTATTTTTATTATTTAAATATATTTTTGTTATATTTTATTCAAAAAATTTAAAGGATACTTTATACTTTAAAATATTTCACTTTTTTTGAATTTTTTCCCATACTTTAATAGAGCAATTTAAAATTAGATAAAGTCTTGATCAGTAAAGAGGAAAAAAAAACTAAATTATCGTCAGGAAAATTCATATAGATCTAAGTTTTAGACAATATTAATCAATTTTTTAAGCTGTAAATCAATATCATGTAAGGAAGTTCAATTTATCTTACGTTGAAGTAAATTTAATGTTTATTTTTTTTATTAAAAAAGAAATTTAAAGAAAATTTAATTATTAAATTACTTAACAATTCAATGACTTATAGGTTTATCAATAATTTAGTTAATGTAAATTTATTATATAATTTTTAAATAATTTATTTAAAAGAAAATTAAGAATCGATGAAAAGTTAGATTTTTTTTTTTAATTTAAAAAAAAATTTAAATAATTTTTCGACAACCAATTTAATCTGATACATTTTATTAATTATTATATTTGGTGAAGCTTAACCAAGAAGAAGGTTGTTGCAAATTTATTTGATTAGGTCCTATAATCTTAAATCAAAATTTCAGGGGATGCGATGCAATTTTTTAAATATTATAATCTTACAACGCAGATGACTTAAGAGATAAGATGGAAATGTCGATAATATGGAAGTAATAAATTGTATATTAAATGTCTTTAAATCTCCAGTCGACAATTAATTTGCAAAAAAAAACTCAAAAAGAAGATCCTAATCCCGTAAAGATATAGAAATTAAAAGGGAAGGGGATAAAAGTAGGAAAAAGTTTGAAAGAACGTTTAAGTAGAAATCGACTAAAACCTCATTTATAACAGTAATTTGTGACAAAAATTCACTAAATAAACACACTGTCGTAAGAATAAAGTTGAAAATGAATATTTTAAATATATAATTTGTGGATAAAGTAAGGTTGGCAAAAATCATTTTCTTGCGAACTCTCTATGGCAAAGAGCGGTTCCATTATTTATAGCTGACGTCGCACTACGCACGTGACACAAGCGACTGGCTGCAGAGTGAGTAAGTGCTGAGGATTTCATTCACTTAGTCCAATGTAATTTGTCTTATTGCTAACTCGCCTTTAAGCTAACTGGAAACTAGTAGCCAAATATGCATCTCCCGTTTTTTCCCTTTATTATCACCTTTCATAAGGAAAATTGAAACTCTGACATATAATTATTAAATGATTTTTATTTACTGAAATTTATCATCTCTCAAGGCGGAAAAGATAAACAGGTAGGTTGCTAAAAGATGAATTAGCGTATTAAGAATTTAATTTCTGTTACACTACATAAAATGAATCTGTTTCATTTATATGGTATAAGATAAAATATGCGAATTGAATTATACTTTCAGACAGCAATATCACGTGTTAATCAATATATTTTTCCATTAAACTTTTCTTATTTTTTTGAAGTGTAACTTTCTTGTAAGCTGCATTTTTGTAATCAATTTTCGATAGATTGATCGAAAGCAAAACTTTTTTTTAAAGTTTGAGATGTCAATTATAAGTTTCAGCTTCTAATTACAATTAATTAATTAATTAATATTGATTATTAATTTGTAATCTAGGCGATGTTAAGGTAATAAATATTCTTTACAACGTTTAAGTTATAAAGTTGTCTGATAACTATCCTATATAAATTAACGGAGGAAAAGCTTGGTTACTCGTAGGAAAATATTATAAATAATGCAACAAGTTAAAGAAAACTGAAATTTTAACTTATCAGCACCTATTATATCAACAGGCAAAGATCGAAAATTAATTCCTTCGTGTTAACAAATCGTTCATATCCGGTTTCCAGCCCAGAACAAGAACTGTCTACACGTAATAAAGCTAGCAGCGAAACTTAAAACTTAATTTACGTAGAAAATGCAAATTACAGGTAAGAGTGGGCAATCCCAACAGCTTCACATAAAGCATAACAAACTGTTTACCTGGTACGTTGTTTATCAAGCAACCAGCTGTTTACAACACATTGATTAACGAGGCGCCCAAAATGAGGAACAACGTCATTTATCAAAGTTAGCTGTACAAAGCCGCATTGCTAACGATATACACCATTCCCCGGGCTATGGCATACCATTTGTATAACGTCACATATGACGTCATTGTTTTCAATGATGTCCATCCGAAAGTTTTATATTAAATATTCTTTAAGAAGGAAAAACGTCCTGAAGTATTTAAGTAGCAATACGAAGTTGTGAATAGACTTATGTCTTGTTTAAACTTACGTTAAATTTATCGTTTTCTTACGTAACAATAAAAATGATTTTTCTTTTTTTGATAGATTTGATGGTTAAGAAGATTTTGCGACTTTCTAGGAGATGCTACACCGATTAACTGTCCGAATTTCGTTGCGTGCAGAACGTTTTTAAAATGTAAACATTCAACTATAGTGTGTACCAATAGATTGCTAGCAACATGATCATTGGCTGCTCTATTACTAACAGACTTGCCAAATAGGCCACTCCCGCAACATTGGAACCAGGAACACTTAAGATGTCAATTCTATAACGAAGAAAATGTTTAACTAACCCAATAATCATTATTTCTTTCTAAATTTTGCTGTAAAAATATAATCTGATCTATTTATACAGTGTTATATTACTTGATACTATAAGCTATATAACTTAAGCAGCCATNAGAAAAATAACTTATTTGTTTTGTAACTCTAATCTTATAAATCAGATTTAAAATAAAGTTTTATTTAAAATGCAAAAAACGAGTTTTTAAAATGTGTGTTTATTTTAAAAAATAGAAATAAATTTATTTAAAACATAACACGTCCAACTTAACACATTTAAATTTAAAATTTTATTCATTTTTTTCTAACCTGGATATGACTAAATTTACATAGATTCAAACTTACGACTATTAAAAGTTTGGAATATGACACAGAAGAATTTTTGTATTTTTTTTATTGTTTCTTTTTTAAAGATTTCTTAAGAATATAGCCTATACATCTTAAGGTATAGTTGGAATTTTATATCCTTTTCTATTGCGTTTGTGGATTATAATTATGTTATCGGACAAATCAAGGAAAAAATAAACTTTTAAAGTTTAATATAATATAATTTGTATTATATAATAGTCTTCCTATGTATAAGCAAGGAAGAGTGATAAACGTATGCAGAGGGTCGTGATGTGATAGATTATTGAAGGCGAACCGCGTCTTGCACCTGAAAACTTTAATGGAAACACCAAAAATCAATCGCGACAAAGGAATAAAAGAACTATAAAAAAATAAATGGTTCTTTCTATGCACTCCCAGCTGTCGAGAACACGAGGTTAAGATAGAATTCACTTGAAGAAAATAAAACGTGATCAGTTCCGTAGACAAACAGCGAACTGATCCGACAGCCAGCAACCGTCGAGTGTTGGTGCTACAATATTGATTATCTCCTCAACGTTCTAACGTTATTTATCTTGGCCCCGGAGTGTGCAATGTCACTCTTTCCAGTGCTTTCTACCCGATGTGACGTCATACTGCGACCGAATTGATGGTCCCCATAGTATATTCCCTACGCGAGTGACTGAACTTGGTCGTTCTGTTACCCTCAACGCACTGGGTCGAGATTTGTTTGTCAAATCGTTTTGACGTGATATGCAAATTTCTTTAGTATCATTCTTCGGAAAAGAATAATAACAATGTTGAAAAACTTTCATATTTTGAAACATCGTGCTCCGAAACCTTCCGTAGGAAATGACTACTCGCTTGATTTCTCTCAAAGTTATTCAGATTTATCAGTTCTATAACAGATGCTAAAGTTTTCTACGCATATTAATATGACGAAAATCTTCGTTAAATACCAAAAAAAAAATTTAATTAGATACATTGGTAAATGCGTTACAAACTACTGCAGGAAGATATTTTTTTTATTTAATTTTGATGAATTGAAAGTACTTGATAGAATATCTCTTCAAATTAGGGTGCCAAAAGTTTTCGTAACACAATATACAATAATGATGAGACCTTTGATATATCTTTGAGTTAACCGACTATCAAATGACAAAGAGTTGCCGATTTAACTGACAAAATCGGAAGTCAATTTGTTAGTCAAATTTTTGGTATCAATTTCAAAACTTAGCGATTGGTCTGTAGTAAGAGAGAAACCATTCTTCCCAGTCAAACCTAAGCCAAAATGTAAATATAAATTCTATACCAATCGGGTGCTTAAATTTAGTTTAAAAAGGCTATCAGATTTCAACTTTTTTCTTTATTTGCTTATATCCGATAGATATCAAGGCTACTAAATCCGTTTTAACTTACCAGCGTGTTAAATACGATACCAAGTGTTTAGTCGAGCAACGAGAATAATGTTTACAGATGTCCGGGAAGTCAAGCGTCACCTGGCTGTTGTAAACAGCTCGTCAACAACTCCTACTGGGGGTGGGTTGTCGCTACAAAAGCAAACAGGTGCCAGATCTTTTTGAAGGACCAGCCACCAAGAAGAAGTAGGAGGAGATACGGTGACCCGTAGGGGGGAAATGTAGGGGTAATACGTTTGCATAGACTCCGTCAACCAGTGAGATGAGAAGGTCGACCTACGATGCAAACGTTGGTCATTCAAGATCTACGATTGGATGAAGTTGTATCACGTGATCGCTATTTTCGCTGAATATCATTAGGGGGCCGGACGATAGGTTAAGTCCCGTACAAAGTAGTGATCACAAATCATTTTGCTTTCGCACCATACCCTTCATTATGAGCACACATTTCAGTCATTTTTCGACAACTAATTGGTCGGGATATAGCGGACCTCGTGATCACCATCATCACCACTACTATGGGGGAAGTTGCATTAACTATGCCGAGTCCAACCATTATACGTCTCCATCACCACAATCTCACGTTCCCGTTCATCCTTATCCCAGTAGGTGTCCCAACTATATCCGACTCGATTCGGTCGGAGGACATCAAAAGGAATATCGGACTACCTACGATAACAACGCGATCGAAACATACGATCACAACATTCAAGCAAACTATGAAGTATCAAGTCCCGGAGTACCGTCCACCACAGAGTGTCCACCCGATAGAGATAAACAATATCCGTGTCCAATTCAACAACAATACGACGCTCATTCATGTGTAGTGCCTCAAAACCAACAACAACATCAAGGTTCAGTAACTGCTTATGATACCCACCCACATCAACCGAGTCCATCCGAAACGACTACAACCGAAAAACCGATATTCTATTCATGGATGAAATCTTATGCAGGTGAGATAGTTCTGCTTTATACTTACAGCTGTTTAAATTGGCGGGTCAATGTTCAGTTCGCAAAAAAACGCGTCACGTGAAACCAATACTCGCTCCTCATTGGAGAGTTTCGTTGCCTTTTTTCCCTTCCATGTCTTTTCAATTCGATGCCTTTACTGCGCAACACAATTCAGATCACGTGTTAAAAACATTGCTAAACGCATCTTAAATCTTTAATGTTGAGAATAATTAACATCTGTTCGTCTTTTATTCCTAAATTTATTATTTAAATACTATAAATACTTTAGTAAGTTGATTATATTGACAATTAGGCGTACTTACAGAGCTTCTGTAAGTTTTTTATTAGATTTCGGAATGTAAAAATTAATAAATTCAGTCAGAATATTGAAATTTTTATTACTTTATCTGTAAAATAGGCCTATAAATAATAATACAATTCAATTTATTTAACAAGTAAATATATTTTACAGAAAAAAATAATAAAACAGTTAAATCCATTTTATCCATTCAGGATTTTCGTAGAATAATACCTTCAGAATTATGTAAGTAATGTATATTGAGGTNTTGTTAGTTAAATTAAGATAAAATAAATTGATAAGTAAATGATCATTGACGCTTCGTTTCTCCTATCAACCTAAGCATTTTAAAGCATAAAAATAGCTTGAAACTTATTATATAATGTTAAAAACAGATCAAAAATAAAAATTAAATAAAAAATTTTATAATTTAATTATTAATAATATGTAAATGTAAACATAGAAATGAAAATAATCGATATAAAATATGTCCTTACAAATTAAATGAAGATCGATGTAAAATAAAATATAGAAATTTGCACGGATTTATTTTTATATAAAGTTTTTTAATACAAGATAAAATTTTTAAATGAATCTACGTATTTTTAACATATTTTATTCTGTAGATTCGGGTCAAGCCCAGAAAAGAACACGTCAAACGTATACTCGGTATCAAACGTTGGAACTGGAGAAAGAATTTCATTTTAATCATTACTTGACTCGAAGGAGAAGAATAGAAATTGCTCATTCATTAGGGCTAACCGAACGACAGATAAAAATTTGGTTTCAGAATCGGAGAATGAAAGCTAAAAAAGAAAACAAATTCCAACCGAACCAATCTCTACAAGAGAAAAGAGTAATAAGCGAAATCGAAGAAATACCTGGAGTTGGTAGTTGAGAATAAAAACGGAATAATTCACAAGACAAGAAACAGGGATTTAGACAATGAGCTTTGATTACATTTTTCACGATAACATCTTATGAAAGCTGCACCAGTAGTCCACTAAATCATACACAGGAAGTTCTGGAATCCTTTTTAAAGTTGGCAATCGAAACCATTCAAACAGAGAAAAAGAAGAATAAAAGGTACCGTTTTACAGCATTGTGGAAATGGAATGACCAAGAAACTTCCTGTGCACCCTTCAGTGTGAGTAATCTATACCACCCCTTTGCTTTCTGTGCCTTTAACTAGATTTATGACCGATCGTGTGAGACTGTTTACGGAATGACAGTTTTACGATCCCCCGTTCTTAGAAGAACTGAGAGCACTTTTAACTAGTAAGGTTGACAGTTGTAGGACAGCTGACCCTACGGTTACCAAAACACGACAAGAGAGAATGGGACATTTATTAATTTTAATGCCGCGTGTTGGTAAGAAACGTCACTCCACGGAACGATGGTCTGCCTAAGACACCTTAAAATTAAATGTCAGACTCGTTTCCAGTGGGATGTCGGCCTGAATTATCAGTAGGCCGAAGTTTACGTGACTCGAGTAAGGATATTCTCTTCTTTCTTGTTATCCATAGAAAAGAAGAGTTTCTCTTATAAATCTGCAATAATTATCACCTCGCGAATAAAAGCAATGAGTGCAAAATCAAGATGTTTACGTATAAATTGGTGTGATAAAGAATCTTCCAACTAAATATATGATCTCAGTTCAGAACAGCTTGCGAGAACTGACAAAGGCATAAATCATCCAACGGTTATTTGGATTTAATATGTTGCATGTGCAAATATACGACGAATCAAAACATGACGTTCTTTTTTAAAAATTACATTTACATATATTGTATACGATATTTTTATTGTTTAATTTTATTTTCGCATTACACATGATGCATTATAAGAACTTTTACAGACTGTAAAACATGTTAAAAGTATTGTTAATGTATGTTAAAGGAAAAAAATCCACGTAAAAATACGTTAAAAATTCTCCTAACTAAACAAAACTATAATCGCATTCTCAGGTACTTATTTTGTAACTGTGTAGCCTATTTATTTCTGTAAATTAAGCAATTCATTAAATGAAACCTAACATATTTTTAAATTATTCCTTTCTGATTTTCTTTCATTAATATTAAAATTGTATTAAAGTTCTCGAAAGAATTTGCTGACATTTTTTAAAAAGAAAGTAAATAATGCCTGGAAATATAATTATGTATAGAGAAAGGACATAGTCACGAAAAACTAACTTTTTACAATCGAATTTTACTACTTAAAATGCTTAACTAATTAAAAATATTTTTATTCTATGATTGTAATCACTTATTTGACATATTATTCCGTGTTTATAAAACAATGTAATTTATTTATCGTTAACAGAAAATGATAAACAATATTTGCGACAGAGACAATCTGTACATGTAAATGAGAATTTCTACGTATCACGCAATGAAACATATGCAGGTAATGTTTCGTATACATGTAAACTGTTATATTCAACATATGTTTTAGATAAATTTTTGCCACTAACACCTCTCTCCTAATAATCAGACTACTAATAAATATCATTCGTCGGTTCTTTTCAATTTTCTATAAACTAGAGAGCGTTTTCTATGTCAACTTTTGTAATATCGTACTCATAAGTGAAACATAAGACGCTAAATTATATAAAGAGCACTAGGATATCGATCGATGTATAGTGTGTTGTGTTCTCCTGGGAGATTCTCAGGAACTGTCGCTCCTTTTGACAAATTCATTACCACTAAATTCCTTCTTAAACCTTGGTCTTTTAAGGTCTTGGTCGAGAATCGTTGACATGGCAACAGGCTCTCGACCCTCTAGGTAACATTATCCGAACAGATCAATTAATTTTTTTTTTGTTTTTGCATTGCTACTGATAACAACTGATTAAATATTAATACGTCTTTAAGAAATATTAAATAAAAATTACTAATTAATTTAACCGATTCCATATTTGAAATTTTCATAATTAATTTTACGGTGAACAAATTAAAGATTTATCATTATAGAAAATTGATATTTCCACGCATATTTTTCAGGATAATTGAAATATATACAAAATTTATAACATTATAATAATAATCAACAATTATTTCACTTTTAGCAAAATTTTCGACCTAAACATTATTCATTCGTATCTATACGATAATTTTTATTTTTGTAATAAATCTTGTAACTATTATTTGACCTGCGGAGTATATAGTGTCAAGGTCAAGTATCTTATCACCAGACTTAAGTTTCCGGCAGGCGATCGTGACAAGATTGCACGTGTACTTAGAAAGACAAGCTCGACCCATTGCATCACCACATTTCGAAGGTTTTATGGTAGTTTGCATTGGAGAGATCAGGAAGCTGGTTTTGTCACCAGAAAAGTAGGCGTGATATTTCGACTCAGGCAGTCATATATTTTATCTGAAGGGACTGTCATTAATGCAGTCTGTGAGAAGCGATAAGACTACTCCAGTAGCATCATCCAATTCCAACAGGAATATAGACCTACTTATTTTTTATGCTGGATTTTATAGATATCTTCACCCCCTTTCCTTCGACAAATGTTTTAAAAAATCAATTCAATTCAAATAAAACAAATCCATATTATAACTTAATTTTATTCGTTTATTTTATAATAATTTTGTCATTATATAAACTCATAAAATTCATTTTTGTTAAATGACAGCTTACAAATTTCTATATGATTTTGAAATATTTAAACGGTTTCTTCAATAAAATATGAAAAATAAAATGTTAATATTCATAAGAATCGATCGTTCAATATCATAAACAAATGGATTATAGTATACAAAATATGATTTTCTTTGATTTGTGTGGAAATATACATTTATGTTTTAAGTAAACTTTCAACTCTTAAAATGATTGTCAGGAAAGGAACAGAGAAAGATCATCTGGAAAAGTACAGTATGCCCGATATAAATAGTTTCCAATAACACAAAAGCATTTCATCTTCGAAAGTGCATCAGTTGATATTGTTATCCAAAGCAGCCTGTTGCAAACAATAGATAAAGAGAACGAAGAAAAGACACGAATACCGGAAGCAAAAGGAACCAGCTCCCGGTGGGTGCACCAAAACAACACTTCATCCTCTTCAATGTTGGCGGTCGCTTGTGACAGGTCGGGTCTCGTGGGCTATCCAATGCCAAGTGATTTATAGACGAGAAAAGGGTGCAGGAACTACAGTTAAAGCCTCCTATAACACGTTCCCCATCCTTGCCTTTAGGAACCAGGTGGTCTCTTGTTTAAAAATCTGCATTTTGACAATTTAACGGAAAATTAGTAGATCTAAACTTCCTTCTAAACTGACTAATTGTGTTTTTGTAACCGGATGTTTTATTAATTGACTTACAAGTGTTATATTACACTAAAACAGTTAACGAGCTTACTAATTCAAACAATGTTAATTTAAATTCATTCTATATGTTTCATTTCTAATTATTACATATTCTTATCTATATATTCAACAATTTAATATCATAATTTTTAAAGAGAACCTAACATAAATGTTTACGAAATGGCGATAGATGATGAATAAAATCTAAAACAAGTATTTAATAATATATAAGCTCGGATTTTAAGATAAAAATCATAATATAATATATTAAATTATTTTAAAATTCTACTTTAATTGAACACTTTAAGATGGAGAAAACCAATCTTGCAATAACGATCGCTCTATGGCTGGGTCATCAGCTTTTCAATGGTAAATTTCAATCAAGAAATGTATCGTCATTAGATTTATCAGATGAATTAAGCGTTTTATCAATGTTTAATTATCAGTTCTCGCTTAACGTTCCCAAAACAAATTGTCTAACAACCTATCACTTCACCAGGTGAATCTATCATTGCTTTGTGGTTAAGTTGTAATTGCATTTCGACAATCAAGAGCTTATCTATTAATCCAAACATTTAAATAATATAGGAAACTTTTCTTTACGATACGGAATTAATTAAAAAAGTGCTTTTTCTTAAAGCAACATTTCGATTTAACACGCGATTTATTAACAAGGAAATTATTGGCTGTAATATTAAAATAATCAGTCAAAAGTTATTATTATTATTTTATGAAAATATTTATTAATAATTAATTAATCATTATTTCAATCATTTACAAGTAAAATATTTAAAAATTAAACATTTTACATCGCTTTATTTGTAAAAATACATGAAAATTCGATATTTTTATATATTACTATACAAGTAGATTTAGCCTGCACTACGATTGGCTAAATATTCTTACAATGGATAACAGCAAACCAAACCCACTTTGGATAGGAACCACAATGAAACTTACTAAGGTGTTCAAACTTATTAACTGTAATGTATCACATAACTTAGCCTGAATCAACTATGATAATTGATTTAATCTGATAGTAAGTAATTTATGCATTTAATTTTTTAATAAATTATAATGTATCGAAGATTATTTTAAAAGAAATTGTGTTAACGAAAATCAAAATAATTTTCAATATTTTAAACGAAATTAATAAAAGAATACTTTTTAAAAGTTTACGAGTTTGCCTGAATTAAAACAATTTATATGTATAAAGAAAACAAATCAATAATATTTAAATAGAAGACCGTTAATCTAAACAATTTTAAAATTAATATTTTAAATTGTATTTAATCAATTATTGATATTTTAATTAATTAAAATCGTTTTTATCGATCCAAAATTTCTAATAAAACAAAATTTACACTTTTCTTACAATAAATTCTTACTAAATTTATATTATTTTATTGAATGTTTCTGAAAATGTTTAATAAATTGAATTATTTTTATTATAGTATATTTTTTATAACAACAACAATCACATTAATTATATACTGCATTAAATGTTTTAAATAAAATTTTATTAAATTAGATNTTTTTTATATTCTATGGGAAGTTAATATTAATTATTTTTATTATAGTATATTTTTTATAACAACAACAATCACATTAATTATATACTGCATTAAATGTTTTAAATAAAATTTTATTAAATTAGATTTGTCGTGTGTTAAATACCAAAAATTCGTATTGAATATTGAATCAAGGAAAATAAATTCGTATGAAAATTAGTTTAAATAATGTTTTCAAACATTGTTTTTAAGCATTCTTCTATGTTCTTAATAGAATTATTGTACAAATCGATTCTATAGTCAATGTTTCTCAATTTATTTTAACACGTGGAACTGTAAAGCGTATAGAACCTAATGAGCAATCCCTATTTATCTATATCACACCGTACAAAGCTGAGTTGCAATTTCTGGTAGATTAACCTATAAAATATACATTTTATTTAGTAGATAAAACAAATAAATAAAAAATATAACATGTTAACAATTATTTGTCTTTTAAAAAGCTTCTAGAGTGAATCAACTATGAATTGTTCACGCTCTATCAATGGCCGAATGATTAATACTGAATGCCATACATACAAATTTAGGACTTTCAATGAAATGTTTCCTTGCCGTTACGCATTTTCGTCTAGAGGAACCTCTTACATCTCTTCACGGAACTTCAAGATTCCGTGTTTGAGAAACACTGTTATAGGATATAGGCTATATCAGTAAAGGAAGACATTATTTCCTTCAATCCTGTACTATTTTTGTTAATTATTCAAATTAAATAGATAATTAACTCGTCTTAAAGTATTTTACAAGGGATATTCTTACTAATTACAATAAAAATTATTATACAATTTTAAGTTTGCAGGTATATAAATGTAATAAAAAGTAATAAATATTGTTTATTAGTCTTTGCTATAAATTTATATACTTAAAATCTATACTATTTTTAAGTCTGTAGATCCGTTGTCAGTTGAAGTTATAAGGATGGGAACATTTATTGATTCTTTAAAATCAATAGGGACGATTCTNTTAACTTTTAAAACTATAAATAAGAAAATTAAATAATTTTATAAACTATTTAAAAATATCTAGAAACTAATATAAAATTTTTGGTACTTGATTTATTTCTAGTGCTTTGAACTATGGAAATTTATGTACTTTATAGAGCATTTGTAACGGTTAACAAATAAAATTATAAGACTTGATGTAAACTGAATTTCTTAATAAAGATCCAAAGCTAAAAAAAAAAACAAAAATTCAATGGAAATTAAAAAAAAACTCTACTTTTATAACATTTTTCAAAATAAATTGCCAAAACAGAAAATCAGTTCAATTTATTTAATGGTAAAAATATCGAGTTTATTTGATGTTGTAGTAAATAATGCATTTCAACAAACTTTGATTAAAATTTTTGTTCATTTTTGAACGAAATAAACGTATTACGATAAACTTGCTTAAATTTTAAAAAATTTAACATTTTTCTATTCATATCTGCTAAGTAAATTGGGCTATTTCTATCGATTCTTTATGTTGACTTTATTTTATTTTCATATAACAAAAATTCTACTTAATTGAATTCCATATGTAGTAATTATCCATGTAATATGTCGAAGCAATTCGCATGAACGGTTTTCTAATATATTGTGCTATATTTAAATATATAAAAGAATTTTAAAGCTCATTGTAAGGAAGAACATCAGGATAACTTCCATTAAAAAAAAAATCTTTATTTTAACTTCCTATTTGGAGTTAAGATAAAAATTTATCTGTAGATGATTGGTCGATGTTTCCTTTTGTATGAAGAGCGAAGAATTATTTTATACATTTAAATATAGTACATTTTAGAATATTATAAAATCAATAATAGAATTAGGATCATATTTATTCTTTGAAAAAGGGTAAATGTGTTCGGTATTGGTTATTTCTATGCATTTAAAGGGTATAGAAAATAATCAATGTGTTTGCTTTAGTATTGTGTTTAATGTAATGTAAACATTTTCATGATAACTTTCAATGCAAAATAAAGGATAAAATATAACCATACTTTTATGAAAGTTATTTAAAATCTTTTAAAATTTATAAAATAGCTTACATTAATTATGTTAAAAATAAAAATTTTAGTATATTTTTCTTATTAATCACAATAAAATTTTCAACCTTTTAATTATATAAATGTATAACAAAGATATAATTAATAATAATTATATTTTTGTTATACGTTTGTATACTTATTGGAACCATTTTATATACCTACATTTTGAAAATTTTTTAGTGATTAGTAAGAATAAGTTTCTAACAAAGTCATATTTTATTTTGATGCATTTAATTGCCTATCTAATTTAAATAATTAACAAAAAAATCAGATAGAATTGAAGTAATGGCTTCGTTTACTGATAGAAAACATTATCATAATTACATGTGCTCTTCTAAATAAGGAAAAAAGATGTAATGTAGAAGGGGTCAACATATCTAATAACCAACACATGTGTTCCACGAAAGCAAAGTTCATCACGTTCTTGAAATTTCACCCCCCTCGTATTTAAGAAGATAGACTGCCCCCATCCGATCTAGTCGGGGGCCTCTGGGGATTTTGTCCAGTAAATCACGCACGCATCACAACCAACGAACAGTGGATCTATATAAACGCCAGTGGATAGCGTGTCAAAGAATACAGGACTGCAGTTAGAACGGCAACCCGGAGGCCCAGCCAGCGGACTATGAGGCTTAAGATACGGCAAAGACCGGAAATTCTGCTTATCTTTTACTCAGAGATGTGACAACGGTTGTGATAATGTCTACGTTCTCACGCAGTCAGAAACGAATTGGTGAGAATGCATGTATTTAATGGATTATTTTATGTATAAATTATAGATAATTTAACGTTTTGTAGCTTAAGAGTTAAGGACAATCATTCTATTGGATAAGAGGATTTCTCTTGACAAGAGATGCCGTTAAAGCAACAATACGGTTAACTAAGCATTATTTTGTTTTTTTAATATCTTATTTTACTAATCCGTAATTAATTTCCAGTTGACAACTAAACTATTGTAGATCAACAAGAATTCCAAGAACGTCTATTTAGGTCAAACAGATATGCCAACCATCAAACGAAAATCCAATATAAAACATTAAAAATGCGCTTATTTTAATGATAGATAAGTCAATTATTGAATGTTGAATAATCTATACTTTAAAATTAATTATTTAATTTTTATTTAAATAAATTTAAGCACAAAAATCTATTTCCAAAGCATGGCCTGTAAGTCAAAATTTAGTGATTTTAGAATTGTAGGCGATGATTGGGAAGAAAATATGTTGTTCTAGAGCTGGAATAATAATTGTAATTAATATAATTTGTAATATAGCATTCAATATCATTGATTTAGAGCTATTAGAAATTAAGCCTAACCGTCAAAATTGGCGATAGTGCAACCGATAACGTTAGAAATAGTATTGTAACCAAAGAAACGAAAACAAAACAGAAAAGTGAGACGTTTATATATCCCTAGTAACGTTTTCCGGATTGACAATTTATATCTGCAAAGCAGGTGGCGACAATACTTATAATTCTGTAGAATTCGTTATGTTGCTACTGAAGAGAGACGCCATCTTTGTTTACTTTCCGGTCTTGTATGATGGCCCCTATTTTCTCTCAATGAATTCGTCTATTCTACAAAACAAATTAACATCTACAAATCTACGATAACTACTTTATCTTTAATGAATTTAGGTTCGTTAGGAAGTTGACATTTAAAACTGCGTGGAGCTTTCGTTTTAGAGGCAAGGCCTAATCTCTAGCCTAATATCTCTTTGTTGTGGTTTTGGAAGATACTAACGCGCAATTATTATTTATTATTGACTAATTTATCTCGAAGAACCTTATAAGATTTGCCCAATAATGAAAAAGCGGCATCGAATCTCAATTTTAGAAATGTTCTGCACCTGATTACACGAGAGGCCTAGTCACTAGGGACTGCTCCCGCTTCGTATAATGCTAAGGGACTTAGAGACAGTAAGTAAGTACTTTCTGGAAAATGACTGGTGTTCTCTTGTGGGGTACGGCTTTGGGACTATAATAAATCAAACAAACACATTCTATTTGGTTTAGAACGGGCGAATCGAACCATTTTTAGTTTTGCCTCGAATGGCTGGGGTTTACTTAACACTATAATGAGTTCCTAATCGTTACAGGTAGGCAGTAAAACGCTCGTACCTCCTCCTATGTGGACGGACAAGCTTTCAATGCTTACGGCACATAATGAATAATTCACAGTTTCGACTCTCCCGGAGGTTAGGCCGGTCTTTGCTTCCCGTTGTTTTTCACTTTTTAGGAGAAAAAAAATACATCTGCTGAAGATTATATTCTAGTCCCGATCAAGGACAAACGGAAACGACAAAGGGACTCACCGCGACTCTCGACCCGCTGGCTATCAGACCTGCGTGTTACAGCACCTATAGTCTCGCTCCGAGGGGTTACGATTCGGTCGAGATCCGTACGCGGGTTGGTCGGCAACTCGGAGCAAGGCAAAAGGAGGCAAAAGAAGGGGAAAAAACTCGAGTCCGAGAAACGTTGGCAGATATTAATTGAAGGGGAAGAAATTATAATGTGATTGCTGGTTCGGCGTATGTACGGAGCGTCTCATTCGTCCAGAGACCGTATCGATCAGCTGAGAAGGGGGCGCGGTGTGTGCGTGGCTCGGGGGGTTGCTACTCTCTTTCTGTCCCTGTTTCTGCCCTCCCTAGCGTCCGACCTCTCTCACTTATTCTCCGTCTATATCGAACCCGGGGTTTGGAAACTTGAGGCAGACGTTATCAGTGTTCCACCACGCGGCCTGAGAGGCAGACGGAACTGCACGCGGGAGCTGTCGCCACCGCTGACTCTCGTTGACGATAACACTTCAAAGAGTTTCCAACGGTAGGCATCCAATCCCGGTAGAGTTAGCAGAAGCTTAAATTAACTTGACTTTTATTGCAAGAGGCCAGATAGTATTTCGTTCCAAGCAAGCAAGTACTTAGAATTGTTTGTCTGCCGAAAGCCGAGCAGCTATACGGTGCGAGATAGGAGATTGTATCTTTCGGTCGAGGAGCTCGGGGCGACATAACAGTCGGGGATTGTCGTCGACGATTAGCAAATCCGCCGTCCCTACGACGCCTCGTAGCTCTGTGGTAAACTATACACCGTGATTATGTACTGAAACTTATGGTGGGACATGATTGGTCGCCGTTCGTCACGTGGTTGCATGGGCTGTGCCATATATGGAATAATGCGCTATTAAAAGTGTGCCAGAGGTTTCCCGGAGTGCAGTGTGGCCATAATTCATCAAAATTGCAAAGGATATTGGCACCATTATTGCTGTGCCACAAATCAAACGGAACAGATGAGTTCCTACCAATTCGTCAATACACTTACGTCGTGTTACGGTCGTGGCAGTCAGGATTCCGCTGACTATTATACGCCACAAGTACAACAAGCTTACGGGAACTGTTATAGCGGACCCTCGTCACCTGTCCAACAATACGGTCCGCCATATAGCGCACCAAATGTACCCCACCTTCAGAACGGCGACCATCATCCTTACAGTAGTTGCGCTCAGCGTTTGAATCATCCGAGTCAAACCCAAAGTCCGAGAACTCCTACACCGTCGGCTACACCAGTGCCGAGTTGCAAGTATGCCGAGGCCTCGACGGGTGGATCGCCGCAAGACCTCACGACAACAGGACCACATCAGCAGCACCAACCTTCGAGTCCCGATCCCCAGTCTTCGCCTCCCACACCACGTCCCGTCGGTGTCCAACAAAAATCCCACCAACAACAGCAACAGTCGGCTCAGCAGCCTTCTCCGCAACCACCACAGCAACCCCATCAACAGACATCGCCGACACCTCAACCGCAGTCACCGGGAGGACAGTCGGCGTCGCAGAAACAGAACTACACAACACCACAGATTTATCCATGGATGAGAAAAGTCCACGTCGGTCAAAGTAAGTCCAAATTTCTTGGCTTCTACGTTCCGATGTAGCAGTTAAGTCTCGAGCAATGGTTCGGTCCTTCTCCTAGCCGAGCTAGGTGCGATAGACAGCGGCGTACTGGGTCGCTCGCCGTTTTCAACGGTCCAGAACGCAGTAAATATTCTCTCAACGGTTCTCCTGTCAGGGACGTACTCTCCTCCCTTCGCCCATAAACCGGGCTAGCAGTAGGACTATAAACCTTTCCTCAGAGCCATAATTTTACTAGAAGACTCGCTCACTAGCTCACTAGCGGTGCCATAAAAGTGCGAGAGACCGGCCGTTTAAGAGGCACCGACCCAATTGGAATTCTTCGTTCGGCAGTTTTATGACCGCTATAAACTAAGAGGGGGAATGTCCTAACCAGACCACGAGCTGTAAGGGAGACAAGCTCTTGTTTGTCGCCAAAGAGCTTGTCTTCTCATTCTTTCAACCATTCTGTTTATGTACGAGGCGGGAATACCAACCGAATCGGCTTTTAAATTATTTTTATGACTCAAATGCGTCATAACGGATCGAGTATCCACATGCTCCCTACGTTATACGCTATTTGCAGCCTGTAATGTAATTATATGATCGTATTAATATTTACGGATAAACACGTTTTCATTAAAATAAACTAAAAAAAAAAAAAATTGATAATAATATGGAATAAAATGCGCGCCGTCAGAATCTTAATGAATTATTTTGCAAGTTTTCGTCTGAATATAAACATTCCGCGTATATATTTTTTAAAGTTGAAATTCACTACAAAAATTCGTTTTAACGTTTTTTATAGTAAATTTAACGTGAATAAAATCTTTTAGATTTGTAGGCCTATCGAAATCTGATTTAATATAAACGTTTTAAAAATTTTACGCTTATCAAATTTTAAATGTTGTAGTAAAACTTTCACTTTTGAATAGATATGTAGGCACTGTATACTTTAAACTGTCTACGTCTTTGTTTATTCTGTTTGGCTGTTTTAAGCGAAATTCTGAATCTCACTTATAAAAAATCGATATTTTTCGAGCACTTTCTCTTTAGATGAAACTAGCAATAACGTTTCGAAAAAATGCAAAGGAGCAATAGAACGTTGGAAATAACTGAGATTTATAAATAAAATTTTCATATTTAGGTCAAAATTATTTTCATGTAAATGAGTAATATTGACTACTTTTGTGTAAAGGCATTAATTAAATTCAACAATACTTTTCTTATTTCTATTTAACATAATAATATTTCATACACGAGTAATTTTAATTTAAATCTCAACATCTATAAATTGGAAGCATTAAAAACGACGGTAGATTCCGGATAATATATCCAATCTTTTTCATTATGTTATTAACAAGTAAGTATTTCACAATGGGATGATGACACATCAGTTATGCTAGGTAAATGCAAATTCACGTAATATTATTTATTACTTTCGTTTGATAATGCTCTATAATCGAAGGATCATAAAGATTTAAGCTAAATTCTTTAATACAGCAATATGTGTGTATTAAGATATTTTTCATAACCAAATTCGAAATACTAAAAGAAATTAAAAATTAACCTAAAAATTCGTTTTCTTATTAAAGTTTCTTTCTTGTTTTGGTTTTGTAAATATTCAAAATTCAATTTTTACAAATCGCTTAGAACAGAATTAAGGCCTACTTAAAATCTATACTATTTTTAAGTCTGTAGATCCGTTGTCAGTTGAAGTTATAAGGATGGGAACATTTATTGATTCTTTAAAATCAATAGGGACGATTCTTTGTTGTTTAATGAAGTAAAGTAAGCTACATTTTACTCACTCGTAGTCAGAGTGCAAAAAATAGGGCCGTTAGAATTTAAATCAAGATTCATTCTGTGATATATGTTATACAGCATCAAACAGAAGTTAAATTTTCTGAAGGTGAACAGTACTAAACAGTCTGCAATTCTCTACGGATGAGCTATTCATAACATATTCTCAGATCTGACACAGACACAGACCAATAGGGAGAGGGGTACTGCTGACAGGTTTCTGCTCGGCGAAAATAATGCTCCGTCCCCAAGGCTACTCACGCAATGGAGTCGGGACTGCGGTAATGACCTCCTTCTGTTTGCAATTTGTCGCCCGAGTCTAGTCCAATCTGCGAGGGGAAGTGTCCATCCTCCCTGCTGGCAGGAGGGCGGGACGGAATACACCAGCTCCAAAATACTATACGCTATAAGCAGCAGTGGGCAGTTAATGAAAATAAACTGCACTAACCTCGATGATTTCTTTATAGTTTAAAATGAATTTAATAGCCATTCGTATTCAAAATAATTCAAGCCACAGTTAAACTTCTGTATGAGGAAATAAATTTAAATTTCGATTTTTAAACAACGAGTAAATGATGAGCATGTTACAATGTTCTACAAAACGGAAATGGTATATAATTTAGAAAGTTAATATATTTTTAAAAATTAATATATATTTACAATATTTCATATGAATTTTTAACTCACAAGATAAAATTTTTACAAGAAAAATTGAATAAATACGCTCCTAGTTTTAGTTTAAACGAAATCGTAGAAACGAATACATCTTTATAAAAGCGAGTTTAATTTTTAGTGAAACAAATTAGACATATATTTGATAATGACAATAAAATATAAAGAAAACGTTTTATAAAGAGGTATCAGTTGCTTCTTAATTCGAAAGATATCGATGTACTCAAAGGCTTATCTCCACCCCATCGTAATAGAAACTACAATTTTATAACACTTAATATACTTCCCTTGCATTAGGAAAGAGTAGAATATTAATTTGGTTGTCGATTGTTAAATCTGTTGTACATATCGAGTCGTGGGCGGCACATGAACTTGCCACAAATTATTTTCTCCGTTCTATGTTGAATATAAATGACGGCGTTTTGATGTTGTTGGCACTCTCTCTTGTTGCTTTTATGATGTTTTGTATGTGGACTTGGTACATTAAACAAAGAGTCCGAGAAGATAAATTCATTCCTCTTATAGAGGAATTGTGTAAGTCAAAATAGTTTTTAGGCAATTTGTGAATTTCAATTTTGAGAAAAATGAGTTAAAAACTGACTAAATTTTTCTTTGTGTACATTATACAGAAACATTTTTGTTCATAAGCTTCAATAGCTTCAATATAAATTCTTTGCAAAATCATTTTTAAATGGTTATAGAACTATGCAGATTTATCAAAACTATTTCTTTTTTTTTCTTTCTTAAAAAAAAATTTAGGCCTTCGAGAATTTTTTAAATAATATTATTATTGCTGTAATTTACTTAAATACGAATTTANCCTTTCCTTCGACAAATGTTTTAAAAAATCAATTCAATTCAAATAAAACAAATCCATATAATAACTTAATTTTATTCGTTTATTTTATAATAATTTTGTCATTATATAAACTCATAAAATTCATTTTTGTTAAATGACAGCTTACAAAATCTATATAGTAAATCTATTTCTATATGATTTTGAAATATTTAAACGGTTTCTTCAATAAAATATGAAAAATAAAATGTTAATATTCATAAGAATCGATCGTTCAATATCATAAACAAATGGATTATAGTATACAAAATATGATTTTCTTTGATTTGTGTGGAAATATACATTTATGTTTTAAGTAAACTTTCAACTCTTAAAATGATTGTCAGGAAAGGAACAGAGAAAGATCATCTGGAAAAGTACAGTATGCCCGATATAAATAGTTTCCAATAACACAAAAGCATTTCATCTTCGAAAGTGCATCAGTTGATATTGTTATCCAAAGCAGCCTGTTGCAAACAATAGATAAAGAGAACGAAGAAAAGACACGAATACCGGAAGCAAAAGGAACCAGCTCCCGGTGGGTGCACCAAAACAACACTTCATCCTCTTCAATGTTGGCGGTCGCTTGTGACAGGTCGGGTCTCGTGGGCTATCCAATGCCAAGTGATTTATAGACGAGAAAAGGGTGCAGGAACTACAGTTAAAGCCTCCTATAACACGTTCCCCATCCTTGCCTTTAGGAACCAGGTGGTCTCTTGTTTAAAAATCTGCATTTTGACAATTTAACGGAAAATTAGTAGATCTAAACTTCCTTCTAAACTGACTAATTGTGTTTTTGTAACCGGATGTTTTATTAATTGACTTACAAGTGTTATATTACACTAAAACAGTTAACGAGCTTACTAATTCAAACAATGTTAATTTAAATTCATTCTATATGTTTCATTTCTAATTATTACATATTATTATCTATATATTCAACAATTTAATATCATAATTTTTAAAGAGAACCTAACATAAATGTTTACGAAATGGCGATAGATGATGAATAAAATCTAAAACAAGTATTTAATAATATATAAGCTCGGATTTTAAGATAAAAATCATAATATAATATATTAAATTATTTTAAAATTCTACTTTAATTGAACACTTTAAGATGGAGAAAACCAATCTTGCAATAACGATCGCTCTATGGCTGGGTCATCAGCTTTTCAATGGTAAATTTCAATCAAGAAATGTATCGTCATTAGATTTATCAGATGAATTAAGCGTTTTATCAATGTTTAATTATCAGTTCTCGCTTAACGTTCCCAAAACAAATTGTCTAACAACCTATCACTTCACCAGGTGAATCTATCATTGCTTTGTGGTTAAGTTGTAATTGCATTTCGACAATCAAGAGCTTATCTATTAATCCAAACATTTAAATAATATAGGAAACTTTTCTTTACGATACGGAATTAATTAAAAAAGTGCTTTTTCTTAAAGCAACATTTCGATTTAACACGCGATTTATTAACAAGGAAATTATTGGCTGTAATATTAAAATAATCAGTCAAAAGTTATTATTATTATTTTATGAAAATATTTATTAATAATTAATTAATCATTATTTCAATCATTTACAAGTAAAATATTTAAAAATTAAACATTTTACATCGCTTTATTTGTAAAAATACATGAAAATTCGATATTTTTATATATTACTATACAAGTAGATTTAGCCTGCACTACGATTGGCTAAATATTCTTACAATGGATAACAGCAAA